GCGGGACTGCTCAGAGGTTCTCGCGCCTTCCGAGGAGTTTGTTGTTGGCCTTCGGGGGAGGCTTAGGACACTTCTCGGAAGGCCCGGGGGACTTCCGAGCCTTCTGAGAAGGCCCGCCCCTTCTCGTTTCCCCCCGCGCTCGCCGCTAACGTAAGCATCAACTTCGGGAGGTCCGCACGGATCTCTTGGATCTGCGCTGGGCCCCCTTTAGCGGCGCCTGCGGCGCTGCTCCTGGCATGCTCCGCGCGCCAGGGGGAGGGGCAACCAGCGCCGATCAAAGGAATCCGCCTGGTCCTCCGACAGTTCATGTTTACAGTGGAGTCCAGTCCACAATGAACCTTCCACAAGAAACCCAGCCCTGAGCCCCCCGGACGTCCGTTGGTTCTTGGTGTGGGAACGTCTCGCTTTCCATAGCAAAACCATCGAAACCCAAGAAACCCATGGCAAACTGGAGGCAAGCGGGGTGTTCCTTGGCATGGGCCCCCATTGTACGCAGTTCTTCTTCCACAGAGGCCGCTGCAGCGTTCCGCGACGCGGTGTACGAGCCGGCGGTGGTGCTCGGGAGGGCCAAAAGATATCGCGGTGCCAAGCCAGCGGTCTCGATCTGTTTGCTGGGAGGTGGGTGCACGCCTGGGGGTGTCTTCTCCCTTCCCTCAGTCCTCGCCTGGAGCAGAGGACGGAGAGAGGAGAATGGGGGGGAGGGAGGAGAAGGAGGGGGGGGGAGAGTCGGTGAGGCGCGGATTTGGGATTGCGAAGCTGTGGAAGCCGATGGCCTGTCAGCTGTCGGCCTGCCGGCCCAGCGCTGCAGCTAGCAGAACATTCAAAACGACTAGACAGGAGGATGGGGGGAGGGAGGAAGGGGGGAGGGAGGAAGGGGGGAGGGAGGGGGGAGAGAGGGAGGAAGGGTGGACAAGAGCAGGGAAGGCGAGGGAGGAGGATAATGGTGACGATGAGGAGGAGGAGGAGGAGGAGGAGGAGGAGGAGGAGGAGGAGGAGGAGGAGGACCAGTGCAAACCGAAGACCCATCAACGATGTTGCAATACACCACCCCTCCAAGTTCCCTCTTCACAGGCTCATATAAGGATCTGTTTGCACCGCGGGAAGAGCCCCGTTGGAAGACGACCGTCTGAACATCTTCAGCCGTGCCAAACCACCGTTCCCGGGGCTTCGACGCCGCGAATCAGCTCTCTTGTTGCCATCTGACGACCCTACATCGTGCCAGAACGCCGTTCCTGGAACGTCAGCACCGCGAATCAACGTGACTGCCGCGCCCTGCCAATCCCAAATCGTTCCAAAACATGAGTTCCGGGACGTCAGCCACAATAGTCGATGACGCTGATGTGAAACCGTTGCGACGAATCTGCGTGGCGCAACGGCGAGAGCCACATCTTGAACGTGCGCTGCCCTCCATCTGTAAAACCCCTGCAAACTGTTAAGACGAATGTGCGCGGCTCGAAGGCGAGAGCCGCATGTTGAAAGCCGCCCGTCCTCCATCCGTGAAGCTCTTGCAAGCTTTTACGACGAATGTGCGCGGCGATGAGGCGAGCGCCACATTTTGAGAAGGACCCGCCCTCGATCAGTGAAGCTGCTGCAACTTCCAAGCTTCAAGATCATTCATAGGGAGGACGTCTCGGGTTGTGATGTCCCAACCTAGTTAAGCCTTGGCCACCAGAAAGAAATTCGAACACCAAGAAAATACCGAAACTAGACGGTTTGTTTTCACGTGTCGGGCCCTGGCATGCGATACTCCTTCGACACCGTTTCCATACTCCTCCAGGTGCTCGAACTTGTTTTTCTGGGATGTGGTCCTTGAGTACGATGGGAACAACAGAAATCTCGGGCGAAAAGCCTTGCCCCCTTCCCCCCCCCCCCGCCCACCGACCCGCCTCGGGGTGCGAGAGGGGATGGAGAGGGAGGCTCTCCAGTCCTCCTGCTCCTCTTTGGCGCGTGACGGCCCAGGGCCGTGGACGAGCAGCTGCGAGACTGGACCTCGCCTCCTCCTCCTCCTCCTCCTCCTCCCCCTCCTCTTCCTCATCCTCCTCTTCCTCATCCTCCCTCCTCCGCCTCCGCCTCCTCCGCCTCCTCCTCCTCCTCCTCCTCCTCCTCCCTTTCCTCCTCCTCCTCCTCACCTCCTCCTCCTCCTCCTCTCCTCCTCCTCCTCCTCCTCCCCTCGCCTCCTCCTCCTCCCCAGCCTCCTCCTCCTCCACCTCCTCCTCTCCACCTCCTCCTCCTCCTCCCTCCTCCTCCTCCTCCTCCTCCTCCTCCTCCTCCAGTCTCCTCCTGCTCCTCCTTCGCGCGTGACGGCCTCAAGACGGGCCATGCCAAGCACGGGGGTGCTTCTCCGTCGGGCCAAGGCCTCCGCCGCCCTTGCGGCGCTCCGAGAGGGCGCGGTGCGAGACCTCTTCTGGATGGCCAGCGCCGGGCAAAGCCACCACGGAGGTAGATGGCGGGCAAGAGGAGGAGGAGGAGGAGGAGGAGGAGGAGGAGGAGGAGGAGGAGGAGGAGAAGGACGAGGAGGAGGAGGAGGCGGAGGTGGTGGAGGAGGAGGGGATGATGATGAGAGGAGGAGGAGGAGGAGGAGGAGGACGAGGAGGAGGAGGAGGAGGAGGAGGAGAAGGACGAGGACGAGGACGAGGAGGAGGAGGAGGAGAAGGACGTGGATGAGGAGGAGGAGGAGGAGGAGGAGGAGGAGGAGGAGGCACACACCTTGGGCAATGGGCGGAAGTAATGGCCAGGGCGACCGCACGCCACCGCCGGCTCTTCACCGCTGCCTCTCGGCCACCTCCAGCCGACCCCCGCTTCCTCTTCGCTGCAACGTTTGCCGCCTGCCCACTGCCCTCCCTCGCCCTACAGGTCCTCCGCCTCGTAGGGGTGAGCGGCTTTCCACGGTTGCCCTCGCCTCCTTCCCCCCTTTCCGTCCATCCTCGGCCACGTTCGCTGGCCGCGCCCCGCTCGAAAGGTGTCGGCATGGCCTTCCAAGGCCCTCGTGCCTTGGAGGGTCTCTGCCGTTTTTCTTCTTGCGGAGAACCGAATTAGGTTTGACCAGCGCCCCCCTCCAGGGGCGACCGCCCCCGACAGGGGGGAGGGAAGGGTGGCTTCGTTCAGACGAACACCAAAGCCGACAGCGGCAGCTACAGGAAGAGGGTCCCCGAGGAGCAGGAGCAGGAGGTGATGGAGGAGGAGGAGGGGAGGAGGAGGAGGAGGAGGGCGAGGAGGAGGAGCAGGAGGAGGAGGAGGATGAGGAGGAGGAGGAGCAGGAGGAGGGCGCTGTGTAGATCTCTGGGTGGTTGGTGGAATGTCAAGCCACCGCGAAGGCAGAGGAGGGGGAGGAGGAGGAGGAGGAGGAGGAGGAGGAGGAGGAGGAGGAGGAGGAGGAGGAGGAGGAGGAGGAGGAGGAGGAGGAGGACAGGCCAACTTAGCCAGGTCGAACGAGTCACTGGGCCCTTGCCGTTTCTTACCCTCCTTCCCATTACGTAAGAGTCACACCAGATGGTGGCGCAGCCAGGCTTTGGGGCTGGAACGCGTCCTCACTTAGCGAACGGAAGGCTCTCGCGCGCCGTTCCGCTTCCGACGACCTGGCCGAGGGGAAAGACGCGGGCAAATCCTTGCGCGACGCTGTGGCGAGAAAACCATGTTCTGCCTTCTCCCGCGTCTCGGAGTCTCCGCTTGGCACGGCGAAGACGAAGCATGCGCCTTGTCGAGGCAGCACCGCTGCCAGGTTCACGCACAACTTGTAGGGCGCTAGGGTGGGAGCAGCATTGCTCCCGCTCTCGGGCGACTCAGCGGAAAACGTGCGCCACGTCCAGGAGCGGGAACGCCACTTGCAGGCGAAATCTATATGGAAACGCGAGGGCGACCATTCTCCTACTCTCTCGCGGCCTCGCCCCCAACCACTCGGCGAGTGATGAATTCGCGACGCGCCCAAGCAGAAGCGCCGCTTTCAGGCGACATCTGCGCGACGCCGAGGCGAGAGCGACACGTCCGCTCGCCCGCGACCCCGCGGCCGACGAAATCTCCCACGAAAAATGAGCTCTGCGCCCAAGCGGGAACCCAATTCGGAGGAACTGAGCGCGGCGTCCAGGCGAGAGCGAAATTTCACCCTCCGCGCGGGATGTGCGCCCCGTCCCACTCTTGCCGCGCACCGTGCAACGCTGGCGACGTGACGTCCACGTTGACTTCAGACGTGTACACTTCGTACTGCTTCTGATGGGTACGATGGGAGGCCCAGGATGGGGTCGCCATCGACCAGCTAGGTGGCAAAGTGGGCGTATTCACGCATGCAGCAAGGATCTGAGAAGGAGGGAGGGAGGGAGGGGAGGGAAGGAGGGGAGGGGAGGGGAGGGGAGGGGCGGGAGAGAGGGAGGAGGGGAGGGAGGGGGGGGAGGCAAGCTAGGTACGCTCGCGTCATATCTGACGTCCTACCCCTCCCTCCCATCCCTTACCATGGCGCTGATTTTCTCTATCCGCGGACGCGTGTCGTAGCGGACCTGTGGCTCCGCGCGCGCGTGCGTAGTGGGTGGTGGTGCGCGTGCGTGGTGCGTGGGTGGCGGTGCGGGGCGGGCGGGGGGCGGGGGCGCGCGAGAGGCCCGCGCTGGGGCGAGAACGCCATCCTGAACGACGGAGGCCAAACACCGATCCGAAAATGAGGCCCACGCTGCAGCGGGAGCACGATTCGGAACGATTCGGGAGCAGAAATGAGGCCGGCGCCTCACGAGAGCAGCATTTTGGGAAAAAATGACGCCGGCGCCTCAGCGAGAGTCGTTTCCCGGGATTTCCCGGGCATCTTGTGTGTAAAAAACAGTACGCGGAGGGTGCGCGGCCATCACCCGGACGCCATCAGGGGAAGAGGGAGAGTTTTTTCATATTGAACAATTGTGGAGGGGAGGGGCGGGAGGGAGGAGGGACCGAGGGAGGGAGGGAGGGGAGGGGAGGGGAGGGGAGGGAGGAGGGTGGGGAGGGGAGCAGCGAGGGGAGGGGAGGAGCGAGGGGAGGGGAGGGGAGGGGTGGGGAGGGGCAGGCAGCCCAGAGGGGCGCCGGGACGAGCACGCCACCCCCAGAGCGTCGGACCCCCTTCCACCGCTGGGGCGGCTTGTCGCCCAGGGTCTGTGCTCGATTCGGCGGCGGGCGAGGGTCGACCAGACGTAAGAGTGACCTCTCGCTGGAGTGGCCTTTGGTGCGGGCGCAGTGGGGCCCCCCAGCGATTCAACGCGAGGCGGTCGCAGCGTCTTGTGCGCTCGGGTTTGGCCTCCCCGCGGCCCACCAGAAGCCGCGCAGCAAAGGTCACTCGTACCCAGGGTCCCTCTTGCGTGTAGCCGAGAGGGGGAGAAGCGAGAGGGAGAAGGCCTCCTCAGAGGGCTCGGAAGTCCACCGGCCTTCTGAGGAGCTCTCGGAGCCTTCCCCGAGGACACAAACAACGCTTCTCTCAGAAGGCGCGAGGGCTCTCCGAAGTCCCGCCGCCTTCCGAGGAGGCCTTCTCCTTCTCAGTTCTTCCCCTCGCTCGCCGCCGGTTTCGAGGCTGCCAGAGCCCGAGGCCGGCCGCAGAGGGCCGAGAGTTTGACGCAGCGCGAGGGTTTCCAGCACCACATCGTTGGAGAACGGGGTCCCCATAGGTCCCCGACGCCACGAACTTCTCATGACGTGGACCCCCAGCGGTCCGGGGGCCCGTTCTCTGGGACCGGCTCTTCGTCCCGAGTTTATTTCGTCCCGGCCCCGAGGGGCCCGTGAGGGCCTCCCGGGGCCGAGAGCAGGGAAAGACCTGCCGCCGTGATTTTTTTCATGACCCGAGGGGGTCTGGGTCTCCAGGTGAGTACACCCCTGCTCCGCGCGCGCCCGCCCGTGCGGCTCGCGGGGCGGGGCCCCCGGGGGGGGGGGCGGGGGGCGCGCCCTGCGCACGCGAGGCGCTGCTGCAAGACGTGGCCGCGGCCGAGAGCGCCGAGAGCAGGAGCCGGCGGCGAGCAGCGGGGGTCTGATCGGGAGCCTCGAGACGGGGGTCAGTGCAGACGGGGGTCAGCCAGAGCGCCAGACCTTGCAGGATCCTGCAGGGCCAGGGGCGCATTGACCCGGGCTTGGGCGCAGGATCCTGCAGGATCTTGCAGGATCCTCTGCGTGGACCCGCGCTTGGGCGCAGGATCTTGCAGGACTCTGCAAGGCCTGGCTGACCCGGGTCTGGATTGACCGGGTTCGGACGATCCCAGGAAGAGGAGGAGGAGAAGGAGGAGGAGGAGGAGGAGGAAGAGGAGGAGGAGGAGGAGGGGGAGGAGGAGGACCGGTCCGAGCCGGACTGGTGGGACTGTCGGGCGTCGCGTACCTGACCCCCTCGGGCAATGACAACAAAAATCATGGCGGGAGGTTTGTCCTAATTTGCGACCTCCTCGAAGCCCGCGCCAGCCCCCGCGGGGCCGTCAGACAACGGCTTCGAAAGATGAAAAGGTATTCCAGGGGACTGGGTGGAGAGCTCTGAGGGTCGACGTGTTGAAAGCATCACGACGTCGGGGGTCTCTGGGTAAGGGGGGAGCGACAACTGGGGGGGGCGGCGAGGGCTGCAGAAGAGGGGCCGTGCAGCGCGCCTAGAAAGGGACCCTTTCGGGCCCCAAAGGGGGCCTACAGGGCCCGAGAAGTGCACCACTCTCCCCCCCCATGTATCGCCCCCCGCCTATAAGCGACGCCCAAGTCTGGTGCAGATGGGTCGGCGGTGAGATGTGCGGTCGTTCATGGATCGTGTAAGGCTGCTCGAAGAAAAACGGCATCAACATAGACCTTCGGAGCTCCTCGCGGATTTCACGGATCTGCGCTGGGCACCCCTTGGCGGCGCCTCCGGCGCCGCTCCTGGCGCGCGGGGATCCAGCGCAGATCCAAGAACTCCGCGCGGACCGTCGACAGTTTATGTTCATGCAGCTTCCTCTACAGTGGGGGCCCATACCAAGGAACACGCTGCTTGCCTCCAGGGTGCCCTGGGTTTCCTGGGTCTCGATGGCCGTGCCGTGGAGAGCGCGACGTGCCCACACCAAGAACCGGTGGACGTCCTGGGGCCTCAGGGGGTTGGGCTTCCCTGTGGGAGGCCTCTTGTGGACTGGCCTCCGCTGCAGCCCTTCCCCTGGCTCTCCTGGCACGGCCGAGGAGGAGGAGGAGGAGGAGGAGGAGGAGGAGGAGGAGGAGGAGGAGGAGGAGGAGGAGGACCTGGGCCACCCCGCGTCGGCGCGACACGCCGTCCGCTCCCGGTCCCCACGCAAACCCGCGTCCCCCCCGAGCTCCCTCCGAGCCTCCCGCCCCGCGGCACGGAGCGGCGCTCTCCTCTCCGGTCGCGAGGCACCGCCCGCCGCCGGGGCAGCCGGGGCGGCACGCTGCAGGTGCTGCTGCGCACCGTCGCGCGCCGTGGTGTGCGCAGCTCTCTGCGGAGGGGCACGAGCTCTGTGCACGGGCAGCACCCGTTCAGGAGGGAAAGAAGCACACCAGGCATAATTACTCGACGATTCCCCGGAAAATCTGGGAAAATATGGGAAGTGGGGGGGGAGACAAAACCTCACCTCCAACAATATGGGAAAATATATATTTGTGTGTCCTAGGGCTAGGGCCCCTTCACCTGTGGCGAGCAAAGGAAGCTAGACGAATTGCGTCCACGCGCAACTGATGCACCCAGCGCGCAGACGGATGCATCCAGGCGCCACCTCTTGCAGAGGCTATGGCGCCTCTCCCCGCGGACCCGTCTGCGTCAGACCCACCTCGGGCTTAACCTTAAGTCGGGCCTGTGTCCCCCTACAGGGGGATTTTCGACGAAAATTTCAACATACCCCAAACAATATTCCAAAAATAGTCAGGGGATATTTTTATATTTTTTGACCTTTTGAAGTATTTTTGGGGTATGTTTTATTTTTCGTCGAAAATCCCCCTGTGTAGGGGGACAGGCCCGACTTAAGCGTAACCGGGGGGGGCGGGGGCTCCAGTCCTCCGACGTCCGGAGTGCAGTCGGACAGTTCCTCCGCGGCTGCCGCGAAGAGGAGGGGCAGCTCAGGGGAGGCACAGGTGCTGATGCCACCACCTTTTTGCCTCGTTTCGCCTTTGGTGGGCCTCCTGCGAGGCCATCGTCGCCATGGCCGCGTCCGCCTCGAGATTCTGGTCGGAGCGCACCCCAGGAGAGGTCCGGGGAGTAGCCGGAAGTAGGTTTGCCTTCTTTGTGCCCCCCTTCACAACAAAATCATGAAGGAGGCGGAGGAGGAAGAGGAAGAGGAAGAGGAAGAGGAGGAGGAGGAGGAGGAGGAGGAGGAGGAGGAGGAGGAGGAGGAGGAGGAGGAGGAGGAGGAGGGTTTCTGGAGGTCCGTGCGGAGTAACTCGGAATGGCACCGGCCCCCTGTGGCGGCACCTCCAGCGCTGCCATTGGCGCCGATCCGGGAGCCCGCTTCCGGGGCCCAGGGCGCCATCAAGGAGGCAGGGCGAGCAGAACGTTCCCCCCCGGGAGCGGGGTTCCAGGTCGGGGGGCGACGACTTGGATAGAACCGCTGCGGCGTCGGGCGTCTGGTGTCGGGTCGGGCGGGGGAGGGGGGTCCCTCGCAGAAGGCCCGCCGGCGTGGCGGCGGCGGCGCCCTGCGCACTTTAGAGAGCGAGCTCCGGCGACTCCTCTGTGACGGCAGCTGCTCGGGAGTGTGGTTGATGTCGTTACGTGCGGGGAGTGAGTGCAAGAAAAGAAGCCCACCCCCGCATCCCGGCCGACGAAAAAACGGCGTAAATATAAACTTTTGGCGCTCCGCGCGGGTTTCTTGGACCCGCGTTGGGCCCCCCGGGGCGGCGCCTCCGGCACCGCCCCTGGCGCGCTCCGCGCGCGAGGGAGGGGGGTCTAGCAGAGATCCAAGAAATCCGCGCAGACCGTCGAAAGTTTATGTTTATGCAAGTTGTTCTTCTTCTAAAGAAGCCCCCCCCGCCTCCCAGAGGTGTGTTTGTGTGTGTGGTCGGGGGGGATGGCGGGGCATGGTCGTCAACGGAGGTCACCCGAGGCCCTCCAGGACCAGGAAGGTTCGGAACCGTGCAACAACCGTCATCCTCGAGGATCGAGGAGGAGGAAGAAGGAAGGCGGATGATGATGATGGTCAGGAGGAGGAGGAGGAGGAGGAGGAGGAGGAGGAGGAGGAGGAGGTTGAGAAGGAGGAGGAGGAGGAGGAGGAGGAGGAGGAGGAGGAGGGGGCGGAGGGAGGAGGAGGAGGAGGAGGAGGGGAGGAGGAGGAGGAAGAGCAGGAGGAGGAGCGCTCCTTTCCAGGCCGCGTTCTCAGAGGGCCGCCTCCCCAGTCTGGCCCTCCTCGCACGCCGCCGAAGGAGGAAGGCTCTGCGGAAGCTGGAGCGGCTCCTTCCCATGACGGAGATGGAGGAGCATCGAGGATCGAGTAGGATCGTCGATCATCGAGGATATCCTCCTCCAGCTCCTCTCCCTCCCCCCTTCCTTGCCTTACTCCCTCCTCCCCCCTCCTCTCTCTTTCCTTCCCTACCCCTTTCTCAACTCCTCCCCCGTCCCGTTAATCCTTCTCCTCCTCCTCCTCCTCCTCCCCCCTTCTCTGACCTCCCTCTCCCTCCTAGAGTAGGTCCGTGGCCATGTTGGCGCATGCTGGCTCGAACCCCCTGGCCCGTCGGGCGGTGCGAGCATGGCGGCTGCGGGAGGCGCCCTTTTCCGAGGGCGTCTGGGAGTCGGCGTCGGCGGCGCGGAGGGCCCGTCGTGCACGTGCTCGGGAGGCTGCCGCTTGTGCTGTTCGGAACGCCGTGTCGAGTTGCTCGAGCTCGGCTCGAGCTCGCGCAGCTCGACAGGATGTCATGGGCCGTGCCGTCGCATGGGCGGCCGTCGCATGGGCGGCCGTCGTGATCGCTTACGTTCGTTGTTGATGGAAGCCTGTCTTGGCCAAACTGTTGGCGGATTAGCGGCGAGTAGCGGCAGCCGATCCGCGGCTCGAGCGGAAGCAGCTGGAGGCGCGGCTCGAGCTCGCCGAGTCTGCCCTTTCGGCCCTGGCGGGCGACGCCGCGCTCGCGGACCGCATCGCGGCGGGCATCCCGGCGCTGCAGCATCGGGCCGCTGGTCGGGTGCCGCCGTGGTTGGATCGCCTCAGGCGCAACGTCGCGCTTCACGCCCGTGCGCCGTGCCCTGGAGGAGAGAGTCCACGGCGTCGCCTTCGGAGCTGCGTGCCGCGGCCAAGGGGCAGCGGCCTGGAGAGGTGACGGGCTTGGACACATCTGTGGAGATCTGCGTCGTGGAGCCTGTCACGTTCGGGGCTGGAGGTCGCGTGAAGCCGGTCGCCAAGGAATTGGTACCACCTTCCATCTCTTTTCAGCCTTCTGGTTGGTGCTGGCGTCCTACGGCACCGCATGTCATCGCAGCTGCTGCCGCTCATCTCCGTCGAGGAGGCTTTTGCCAAGCCGATGTTCCTGGCGAGTTGGCGACCGCTGCGGTGCTAGATTGCGTCGATTTCGGAGCGTTCGACGCCGTCGTGGAGGAGGAGGACGTGGTTCTCACCGGTCCGCAGGGTTTCCTCGGCGAGGAGTCCGCTGGGCAGGTGCGAGTGGCTTGCGCCCCCGGCCACTGGGCGCGCAAGCCAAAGTGCGATCAATGACCTGGCCCATGGTACAAGCCTGCACACGCTGCCAACATTGAATGGCGAACATCGCTGAATGATCCCATTTGGGCGTTGCCGTCTGCAAATCATTCACGATGATCGCCTTGATGACTTTGTTATAATTTGATCCCCGGCTGTGTGGATGTCGAACCTGCTTGGGCGTGTTCCAATCGTTCTGGCGGCAATGGCCTTGTAGCGTCGGCAACCTCTGCCGCTCGGGCAGATGGAATGGGAAGCGCGCGGTCGCTGATACAAAAAAGGTACCCGGACGGCTGCCGTGGTCTGTTGTGGCTTCGCTGGGAGGCTAGGGGGAACGCGAGGGAAAAGAACATGTTGATGCGAAGAGAAGGAAAAGGAGGAGGGGGGAGGAGCAGGAGGATGAGAAGGAAGAGGCGAGTGAGGATGCTGATGGTGTTTCGGCGGAGGAGCGAGAGCTAAGCAATTGCCAGCGATGTGACGAGAACGCATGTCGTTTTCGTCCTGGTCGCCGTGGTCGCCGTCGTCGTCGTGGTCGTCGTCGTCGTCATCACCGCTGTCGTGGTCGTCATCGTCGTCGTCGTCGACGTCGCCGTGGTCGTCGTCGTCGTCGCCCGCCGTTCCTGGCAATAACGGCTGCGTTCTGGGCCTGGGGCCCAGGACCCACCCGTCGCTGTAGGACGCAACTCCATATTGGGCGGAAGCGTGCTCGCTGCGAAAATCCGCTCGTGGCGGCAAATTTTCGATGTCTGGCGAAATTACTTAACAATTGGACGTGGACGGGTTCAGGCTCACTGTGTAAGTTCATTTGCGGGGCGCATTTCCCGTTGCCCAGGGACCCCACTTAACGATCGGGCGGTGGCAGGTTTAGCGTGTAAAATCTCACCAGGGGCGCACTTCGCGTAAAGTGGCGTGCCCCGGCGTGCCCACTATACGATATGGCTTTTCCGCGTCAAGTGAATGAAACAATAGGACGGGAAGCATCAATCGTAAAGTGGAACTGTTTGAATTTTAAAAGGAAGAATGTTATCTTAAACAGAAAGTATAACACATGTCCCACCATGCGATGGATGTTTGCCATTTTTTCCACGCACCAAACGCGGAACAAAAAAATAGCCTGGCGAAAGACCCAACCATGAGCAATTGTTAGTACCGCAATTGTGGGCATCATCTTCGGCGGAGCTCCCTATGGGGCCACGAATCGTGTGAGGGGTGCGCCAAAATGGGGCGGGGCCGCCATGCGGACCCTGCCACTGGGGCCTTCGGTGGAGCTCCCTATGGGGCCACGGCCGTGTGACGAGCCGTGTGAGGGGTGGGGCGCCAAAATGGGGCGGGGCCGCCATGCGGACCCTGCCACTGGGGCCTTCGGTGGAGCTCCCTATGGGGCCACGAACCGTGTGAGGGGTGCGCCAAAATGCGGGGCCGCCATGCGGACCCTGCCACTGGGGCCTTCGGTGGAGCTCCCTATGGGGCCACGAACCGTGTGAGGGGTGCGCCAAAATGCGGGGCCGCCATGCGGACCCTGCCACTGGGGCCTTCGGTGGAGCTCCCTATGGGGCCACGAACCGTGTGAGGGGTGCGCCAAAATGCGGGGCCGCCATGCGGACCCTGCCACTGGGGCCTTCGGTGGAGCTCCCTATGGGGCCACGAACCGTGTGAGGGGTGCGCCAAAATGCGGGGCCGCCATGCGGACCCTGCCACTGGGGCCTTCGGTGGAGCTCCCTATGGGGCCACGAACCGTGTGAGGGGTGCGCCAAAATGCGGGGCCGCCATGCGGCCCCTGCCACTGGGGCCTTCGGTGGAGCTCCCTATGGGGCCACGAACCGTGTGAGGGTTGCGCCAAAATGCGGGGCCGCCATGCGGACCCTGTCGGTGGAGCTCCCTATGGGGCCACGAACCGTGTGAGGGGCGGGCCAAAATGCGGGGCCGCCATGCGGACCCTGCCACTGGGGCCTTCGGTGGAGCTCCTTATGGGGCCACGAACCGTGTGAGGGGTGCGCCAAAATGCGGGGCCGCCATGCGGACCCTGCTACTGGGGCCTTCGGTGGAGCTTCCTATGGGGCCACGAACCGTGTGAGGGGTGCGCCAAAATGCGGGGCCGCCATGCGGACCCTGTCACTGGGGCCTTCGGTGGAGCTCCCTATGGGGCCACGGAACGCGTGAGGGATGTGCCGAAACAGAGACATGCGAAGGGCAGAGGCAAGGGGGAGGGAGGAGGGAGGGGGCAGCGGGAGGAAGGAGGAGGAACGCGGGGCACCGTCTTTTCAAAACGAGGACCCAACACCACAGGATGGTTGGGAACAAATCGTAAAGTGGACACGCCGGGGCACGCCACTTTACGCGAAACGCGCTCCGTGTATGAATTTTAGCACGTCACTAAGCCCGCACCCGCCCGATCGTTAAGTGGGATTGTTGGGCAACCTAAACTGCACCCCGTGTGTGAATTTACATCATAGACCCCGCCCTTCGCCGTATCGTCAACACGTATCGTTGGACACCTCACACGTCCCACAGGTCTCGTCAGTCGCACAGGTCCCCCAAGCCTCACAGGTCGCAGAAGTCTCACAGGCCCCACAGGTATCGCAGGTCCCAGAGGTCTCGCAGGTCCCACAGGTCCTGCAGGTCCCACAGGTGCCAAAGGTCGCACAGGCCCCACGGGTCCCACAAACCCTACAGGTTCCGCAAAGCCCGCAGGTCTTTCGCAGGTCCTAACACAGCCGACGTTTTGCACAGGTCCCACAGGTCTTACAGGCCCCTCAGCTCCCACAAGTCTCGCAGGTCGCACAAGTCGCACAGGTCCCACAAAACCCACCGATCACGCAAGTCGCCCAGGTCCCGCATGTCTCGCAGGTCCCACAAGTCGCACAAGTCCCAAAGGGGCACAAGTCTCACACGCTCCACAGGAACCACAGGGCGGCACGCTAAAAGACGAGAGGGAAATCGCGCGGAAACCCAGTACTTAGGCAGATTCACCCATCCCCGTGAACAGCTTATAACAAAAGTGGCACAGGGATCGAAGCCGAAAAGATGCTGAATCAAACCAGGCGCGGCCCGTCGCATCAAGTGACATCCGCCTGTCAAGGTTACCGAGCTAACGTCTCGTCTGCATTGCGCGTTGCATGTTAGCCATCCGATTGGTGGGACCGAAACCGCAAAGCAGAACGTGGAACCACTCACGCCAGCGGCCTTGTGAAGGATTCACTTGGAAGAGCACCTGGGCATTAAGTGGCGTCCGCCTCTCAAGGTTGCCACTGGGCGCGCAAGCCGAAGTGCGGCATATCAATGACCTGGTCCATGGTGCAAGCCTGCGCACGCTGCCAACACTGAATGGCGAACATCAATTAACGATCCCATTTGAGCGCTGCCGTCTGCAAATCATTCCCGATGGTCGTCTGGGTGATTTTGTTCTAAGTTTTTCCCCGGCTGCGTGACCCTTGCAAGAACGGTTTTTTGAAGGCAGATCTGCCTTCAAAAAACCGTTCTTACAGTGAAGACAGATCTGCCTTCAAAAAACCGCTCTTACAGAGTAGACCAGTCTTTCCTCTTTGAAGGCAGATCTGCCTTCAAAAAACCGTCCTTACAGAGTAGCCCCCTCTCCTCCTCGGTTCGCCGCGGCCCTGCGCCTGCAGCACCTGGGCGGCCACCACGCCGCGCGGGCGCTCCGGCGGCTCGGGCTCCTCGGCGACGGCGGCGCGGCGGGGCGAGCGGCTCGCACGGAGGCCTCGCTGCCGCTCGCTCTGCGGCGCTCGAGGGCTCGAGGGCGGGGGGGTCACGGGCAACGTTCGGGGGAGGCGGCTAGGCGTGCTTAAGTCGGGCTTGTCCCTCTACAGGAGGAGTACGGTAGGTTCGCGTCGTGTCGACTCGCGGCGACCCCAGCGCGGGCGTTCAAGGTTGAACGCCGCCGGCGGCCCAGAATCGGTCGATGTTGAACGATCGGACGTTGCGGATACGGCCGATCGTTCAAGGTTGAACGATCCAGCGCGGTGTCGGGAACCAACGCCGGGGTCGGCACGACAGGAACCTGCCGTAGGCCTGCTTAAAGTCGGGCTTGTCCCTCTACAGGAGGAGTATCCAAAAACAGACCATCAATAGTCTGGGGTCAATGCTTACAAGCGTTTTGACAGCAAGTGTTGGGTATATGTTTTGACATTCTTTGTTTCGTCCAAAATCCCCTGTAGGAGGACATGCCCGACCCAAGGATAGGCGCGGGCGGGGACGGCCTCGACCCCCAGTCGCCCAGACATCGCCGTTATAGGGGCCTGATCGCCTGATGGCCCACCCCGCACAGGCCCGCGCGGAGTCGCCATCGGGGGCCTCGTGCCGACCGATTGCCGATGCATCGCCGATTCCATGTCGATGTGGATACCATGAGCTGATTCCCCCCCGAACCTTGCCCCTCGAGGACGGGCTGCTAATAGTTCGTCTGCTCTCACCGCCTTTC